CTCCAGCTCATGAAAGCAAGAGCGCGTCTAGCGGGTCTGGGATGTTTGCTATTATCAGTCATTTGTTACAAGTATCAGGGTGTCACATGAAGTATTTGACAATTCTGTCCCAATTCTACTTGAAAAGGAGAGGGGTCCAAAAATGCTGGCATAGTTTCAACTCCATTCCTCAGACTGCTGTTAGATTTTGGTGGGAAAGTCACACACAGGCATGTAGGTGACATGTAAGGGATTAATGTAAAAAGCCAACACAACTACAATGCCAGTAAAGTAATTTGGTAATTAGGCTGACAAGATGGTTTTCTATCCATACCTTCATATTAGACCAACACCTGTTATTGATGTCATTATCTCAAAATGCATTTAAGTATCAAGTTTGCTCATGTAGACAGAGTAGATGATTCAAATAATGAGAATGTAGAACAAACTCAAATAATGAGAATGTAGAATAAATTTGCTGTTGCTGTCATGAAATTCAGCAAGCTACATATTTTCATATATTAAACTCCACCCACCTACACAAGTCCCGACATAATCTGCTCTAACATTATTTAACTTATATATTAATGTAACATTAACATTAATATTTAACATAATTTACACAAACTCCTGAGGAAGAGAAACAAGAATTGTCTGTAACATCTAAGCACCCACAGTGTTCAACCCTCTATACTAAGTAAATACTACTACCTGCTAGCCGTAGAAGACATTTCCATCATTTTGGAAGAGGGATGAAAATGACAGAATACTTCTCTCCCTAGGGGTATTCCAAGGCACAGGCAGATGATGGTTTCACTAGTTTCAGGTAAGATTCCTCAGGGAGTGCCTTTACACCAGTCTTGAAGAACAATGTCCCTAGATAAGGAATCATTAATTTGTTATCTAATAGCATAAAATTTTCAGTTTAATTCATGTTGCGTGTTAACATTCAGAGCAGGGCAAAATTGACAAAAGAAACTGATAGACATGAAGTGTCCTGAAAATTGCTGCTGAAATGACCCAGTTTTATTATATGAATCTGCAGAATGGGCATAGAAACATGGTATCCATCATCTAGAGAAGCTGCTTGTGAACTCTGTTCAGGTCTTTGATATACTGTAAATTACAGCAATTCATAGCTCCTTACAGTGTTACAGTGTTTTACAACCACACCCCACACTATAACTCGGTATTGATACTCAGGTGCTTCCTACCACCCCTGGTTCAGGGCACATCTGGGGTTTCAGACCAGAAGAGCATCACAAGAACACTGCAAGAAATCATGACAAAATGGTCAAAAAGAAGCATGTCTCAGTCAAAATTAAATTGCTGGCATCATTCAGTAAAATGTATGTTAAAAGATACCATTAAAAAACCATCCAATAGCCTTACAGAATTTATGGAAAATTTTACTAAAATTATATTGTGAAATAATAAGCATTAGCTAAAATGTTGTTTTATTTCTGCAAAAATATGCATAAGACAAGCCTCTCCTTTCAACAAAGCTCTCTAACAGTTTTAGATCATATTCCTAATAAAGCCAATGCTTAATTTCAACCAGTTTATTACTATAGTGGCATTATCTACTCATATACAAGAAAATAAAATACAGTATTTTACCTCAACATGGATTAAAAGAAGGGCTGTGTTAGGTCAGGTAAGATGCATTCCAGTGTTCAGAAGTGTTAGACAAAAAAAAAAATCCTTTTCCAAACTGCCTGGAAACACCATATATCAGAACTGTATTCAGTGTAATCACACACAAATATCAACATATAAAAACTAGGACTACCTTAAAAATTTTGCTACAATATTTGAATAATATATTTGGGCTCATATATTGACAATAAGGACAAAGTTTAAAAAAAATCTAAAAAAATCATACTCATGGCAGCAAATACAAACATATGCTTAGCATATAAATAATTCTTACTGAGCTATAAATCACTAATGAAATGAATATGGCTAATTACAGTCAGAATGATGATGGGAGATTGCAGACAAGTTAATGTGCCACATCTACTCTTGGATGCAAATGTGCAGCAGACATTCAAGAACAAGAACAAGCACTGAATGGCAAGTCAGACACTATTTTTTCTTTTAGAAAGAGTCATAAATTCAGCTGAGAAATACTTATAAAAAGGTATAAATTCAACTGAACAGAACTTTGGACAGTAACTGAAGCAGAGGATATCTAATCAATTCCACGTATTTTGTTGCATTTTGCCCCAAATTTTTTTTCAGTAAAATGTCTCAATTCTAGATACCTAAAAACATACAATGAGCTTACCTGGAATGAGCAGGATTCTCTTCCTGTGCAAAATAATCAGCATTAAAAATGAAAAGGACAATTAAAACAAAGGCAAGGAAACACTATTTGGACTTTCTCAGAGTAATGCACCATCTTAGGTAATGACACATTACACATATATGGTATAATACTATGTTATACATAACTGTTACCTTTCCAATACACAAAAAAACCCCAAAACCCTTACTGTTTTTTAAGAACTCATTCTCACAAACATAGATTTCAGATATGAATGAATAATCTAATTCTCCTCAACACAATATCCAGCAAGAAACATTGTCACCAGGAGGAAAACGAGCAACAAATTCAAATTTGGAAAATTACAATTGCTTAAATACAACAGAACATGCAGGGCTGACCAGGAAATACATTCAAATGTGAAAGTTACTGGCAACAAAAACCAGAAGAAATGCAGTGTTTCATTTATCAATTTTAAAAAATGAACACAATCTATTACAGTATTTTGAATTACAGCCACAAAAATAAGTTAGAAACACACACAAAAGAATTATGTACTACTAAGAGTCTCTGAGAGGTCTGTATGTGCATGGAACACAAGCAAAATGAGATTGTTTTGTCTTTTTGAGGAAAAATAAAACAATAGTTGCTAAAACATTGTAATAAAAAACCAAAAGTATTACACTGTAGAAGTTTAATCTAGAACATGAACCTACCCTTTACTGAAACAAATAAAAAGGGAGGTTTTCTTAAAGTTTGTCGAAAACAATGAAGTTGAACAAAACTATACAATTATCTGAATTCTTTGAGAAAATACATTTTTGTGGACTTATGGATTGTTTAGAAATACAATGTTGAAAGAAAAGTTTATCTTACTTTATTAGACTCAAGTTTTTTAAACACTGATCTATTTTGCCTTGAAGATAGTCCTAAGTTTATCATTATTTGACCATTTACGATGTATCCCAGAGATTCTCAAATAAAACTACCAAATATCCAAGTATTCAATAAATACTAGTATACCCAATATATGTCTAGAAATAAAAATCACATGATTCAAGTTATTGCAAATAAATAGCTAACTATAACTTCTATAACTTTATAAATATTTAAACAAAATTCTGCTAAGTATAGGTTAGCCTCCTAAATATACATCTAAACTAACAAAACAATTGTCTAAAAGTCAGAAAATAGTTCAGAAAGACAAGTTTATTTTTGGTAACTGACACTCCTACAGCACTTGCTTTTAGGGCTAACTCAAAGCACATTATCCAGTACCTCCCAAAACTCTGTGCTAGCTATTCCTCTTTGGTTAGTTAATGAGTTATAGACTTACAGCTACTTAAAAAAATAAAAATCCAAATACAAAAGTATCTCAGTGAGAAAACGTGCATATGGTCCCCGATGCAAAGGTTACAGAAATCAGTCAGCCCTCCTCAAATCCTTTCTGTTCTCATAAAACACGTGCTACCTCCCCTTGTCCAGAGTCACACCTCAGGGAAGAGCCTTTCCTCTCTGTGAGGAAACACAGCGGAAAATTCTGATTCATTCTTCCTTTTCAGCAACAAGTCTGTGACGAGATCTATCCTTCTGCTGGAAAACAGAATTGGTCTGTCAAGTGAAAGCATGGAAGTCATTGGTTTACAGACAGGAGCTACTGTTCCTTTACAGAAAGGAGCTACTGTTCCTTAGTACAGCAGACAGTTTTCCAAAGCTGCATGGCATCCTATTCCAAAGCAAGGAGCACATATGCCTGGTGCTTCCTTTAAACATCCTGGCAAATATTGACAGGTGCACCTGAAATATTAAAACCAGGCTACATGCCCCAGAGTTCCAGCCATGTGGTAATTATTTAGCTTTTTTGGTCCCTTCCTGTACAACTGGATTTAAAGTGTTCTCAACCTGCTTTTTATGTTTTTTGGAGACTTTTCTTAAGAAAGTAACCAATTATATCACTTGAACACTCCCACTACTGTGTTTAACAAAATCAAAAGTATTACTGTGTAGGGCCAAACTCCAGTTGAGAGATCACTCCCAACACCTCCCACCTCATTTCAGAGCTGTGCAGGTCCCATTCTGTACTTGGCACCGCCGTGAGCCGCTGCTCTATGCACAGGTCTTACCTCAGGCTGCACTGCAGGGGGAAATGGCTGAATGTGACTTGTCAAAGATTGTGCCACATTCAATGTTATACATAAAAGATTTAATATTAACACAGAATGCCCATTTAGATAGTTGATCGCCAAGTAGCAAAGCTACTGCAATTACAACATGCTGGGACAGATTCACAGTTCACAAAGCTTAGCAAGCCCTAGGCAGAGCTCTGATATTTCTTTAATGTCTTGCTCTGATAAGACAAACAAACACAATGTTGATAAAACATGTAATTGCCAACAGAAGAAAGAAACTATTTTTACTTGACTGACATAAGTGGAATTCTTCCTTTCCCATTTACCATACTTCACTACGAAATCTCAGAGCACTCCTACAGAATCTCCTTGTCAATCAGATGAGGTACTTCGGTAAACATTTTAAAACACATTTCTATTACACATTTTCTTTAGAACAAGACAGATGTCAGAAACAGCGTGGAGGGGGTGGTGGCATGGAGGGAACAAAGGAATGAAGCCATTTTTACCACTTGCCATTTTACTGGTAAGGGACTTCTAAAATGCTTTTATATGAATGCACCATCACAGGTGTCACACGAGTCACCCGACATTAACATCCACTGTGAACCTGAAAACCAATGATTTTTAAGACAGTTTTTTTTTGTTTATTAGTTTTAGATTTTTTTAGTGTTTCTGACTATATGCAAATCCTTCAAGTGAAGTGTTCATAACAGTCTAATTGATCTGATTGCAGCAAGGTTTCTTTGTGAAGGTTTTTTTTTTTTTGTTTTAAACAGAATAACAGCATGCTTTTATATTTACCTATTGCACAATTAATTGCTTTTTAATTGTATTTCCTATTAAAGTAATTCCACTACTAGAACAAATAGGTCCAGAGAACCCACTTTGGTCTGTTGGCTCAAGGACTCTCAGAACAAAATAATAATAATTTAAAAAACCCCACCAAAACTCTAATTAAGCCATTACATAGAAATATACAGAAAAAGCCTGGAAGAGTTCATGAGTAAACAACACTTGTTTAAAAAACACCTCTGTAATAAAGTACAGTACACTATACAGATGCCATACCATAATATCTCCAGATGGAGCTGTTACAGACAATGATAATGCCTTTAAAATGCCTATTATGAGCTCTTTGTTTTTTGAAATAATGGTTTAAAAAAATCTTCAGAGGCTATTTAAAGCACAAAAACTACTTTTAAGTTTCTACTAAAAAGTTGATTTATAATCAGTAAAAAAAAAATAAAGAATGAACATCACATCTGAGCAAGCACCCATCACAACCCTACTGCTGCTCCCAGATTAGTGTGGTAACCTCCAGCCTGTGTTCCCAGAGTTATTCCATCTGCTCCAACACTACAGGCTGATGAAGGCTGGAGTATTCCTCCCTTTGCACTTCAGTGAGAATGTTAACATTCTTACAACAGTTTTACAGAAGCAACAGAATTATAATATTATTTAATAACATATTTCTGTTATTAAATCAGCCTTCTAAAAATATAAAAATATTTGATATTGTGAAAGTGTCTTTCAATCATACTTCAATTTTCAGTTTTAATAAGGAGTACCTAATTAGAACCATCACTTTAGAACTATGACTTTCTGCTCATTTCACGTAAATAGACAAACAGTTAAAAACATATTTACTAAGATTAAATAGAATTGAATAGCAAAAACATACAATCTGACAATGTTGTCGTGTGCTCTTTCAAAGAGTGCATAGGACACATTTCTGCAGCAGTCAATACAGTAATTCTTTTGATGCAATCTCAGTCAAAGCTGTAAACATTCCTAATTGTAGTTTCTTGGAAACTTTTGGTTCCTTTCAAGTTTTTATTAGCAAGTTGCACTGGGCATTCCCCAACATTTCCCCCCCCTTCAGTTGCAGACAGCATCACCCTCCACCTGTAACCCCTCTGGCTGTTCAGAACTACTCTTCAGCATTTCTTCAATAAATTCAGGGCAGTCATCCTTCCCTTGCAGTGCACAGTGACACTTCCCACATGCCAGTGCTAGCAAGGCCCCCAGTGCATGATCTCGAGAAGCAGGTTGATGAGGAAGTCTGCTATGCCTTAATGGGATTTCCTGCAGGTTTGGGATCATAACCGTATAGAAAAGTAGCTGCTATTACAAGGATGGCTCCGAGGAAAAAGACACTGCATAGAATAGGGATGAAAAAAAAAAAGTTTTAGTTGATGCAAATTTATTTATGCAATACAATCAAAAGAAAGGACATTTTTCCATGAGGAAAACAGAGAGATAAATTAAATTTGTCTAATGGATGAAGAGCAAAATAATTTGTATGTATATATTTTAGAGGGATGCAGAAAGCTGTTAAGGTAAGAAACTTGTAACTACAAATTAATGTAGCATTATACTAACATATTCTGAAAATTAAAATTACACTTTCATGTAACAATTTCCAAAAGCAATCACATCAATACGTTTTTTCTTAAACTTTTACCTAAAGTATGTATGCAAAATGGAAGCAGGAGCTGAAGAAAAGCAGCTTCTGTGGTTATCCACCCATTCTTATACCACATACATCACGTTCTTGGAGCTGTGTTTGCTTTCAAGTCCAAAGCTTATGTCTAAACAAATTACTGCTGCCCAAGAACCAGTTTGCAAGTCAATATAATCTAATTTTGTCAGATCCAGAAAGATTTGTCTCATGAAAACACAACAGAGGCATCTTTTTTGTTGTGACATTTTGGTCTTTCAAGTAATTTTGATAGTTAAAAGTCTGGTACAAAATAATCAAAGCCAGCAGACAATCAGTACGCATTTTAGAAAACAATCTCCTCATAGACATGACAACATCAACAATTTCATGTTCTGAACCAAATGCTAAAAAAACTGTGGCATATGACATGATAATCCTTCAGAGAATACATTTAGCCTCTTTTGGGACATGGTCCCTTGCAACACATTCAAGCATTTAAGTACTTAACATCTATTACCCCTATCAAAACTGTTGATGTGACAGAAACAATTACACAGCTCCAGTTCAAATGCCCTGTTAGCATAAGCAAGCTACTAAAGATTAAGTTTGATTAACTCAAGTTAGTCAGGTCTTATTAAATGGGATCACTTCAAGTTCTACATACTGCTACTTGACTGTATTTAATTTTCAACATGTTTGCAGAAGCTGTTAAGTTACTTATTAATTTTCCATTTGAGCACAAAGAAGTACTTAAAACACTTTCTACATTTGTTTTAATGGGACAAATATAATTTAGTTATAATTTAAAAGTTCAATGTCTTCCACTTCTTAAGCCTAAACAGCTATTCAATTTCTTTTTTTGAATGTTGAAGCCCTGATAATACAGGATCACAGAATAGCTAGGGATAGAAGGGACCACAGTATTGCAAATATATATTTTTAGATAAAAAGATGTTTCTTTGTACCAGATACAAAAGTCATAAATATTATTAAAAATATTTTTATGTTATGAGTACTTGTAATATATTCAAGGAGTGTTGGTCAGTCATAAGTAAAATCCTATTCCTACACCTAGAAGTGGGATTATTAATTCTACAGTCCATACAGGAACATGCACTGCCAAGACAAACAGTGTTCTCAACCCACCCTTGTACAAAACCTGTGGCACACAGAGCCACCACAGTCTGATCCCCAAAGCATCAGGACACTGTATGGGGCCTAAAAGAACGGAGCAAGCACTTCTTTTTCTTTCTCGGCTGTTCTTACTACTAAACGAGGCATTGTCTTTAGAAACAGCTCTGCCTTTGGGCTTCTGGGTGCCCTTGGGCAACTCAGCGCCGCAGCGTCACTTCCATGGCTGCGTGACTCTAGTCACCCGTGTTAGAGGCGGTGGTGCGGGCCATGAAAGGCAGCACAGAGCGATGTCCCCGCGCCGGCCCGCAGCGCGGGACCCGCGGCGGCGGCAGCCCCCGGCGCAGGGTGCGGTGCCCGCGCGGGGCCGCAGGGGGCNCCGCAGGGGGCGCGGCCGCGCCGAGGAGCGGCCCCGGGCAGCGGCAGCAGCCGCAGGGAGCGCGGCCGCCGCGGGACCCCGAGCCAGCGGCTCCTCACCCCCCCGAAAAACTCCCTGTTAGGCACGGGTTGAGGCTAAACTTTAGTGTGCAAGCTGGACCTAGACATTTCGAAAGTGTGGCTTGGATGGGATTTTGTTTTTACTTATTTTCGCAGTTATATCTGGCAAGCAGTAAGTTTTCAACTATTTTTTTTTTTAGCATATGTGGAAAATAATTCTTACCTTGTAGGGACAAAATCTTGCAGCCAGAAATAGGAGATCAATGTTGACAGTATAATGGAGAGAGAAGTTGCAAATCCCTTTAAAATGTTATCCGCATATTTTATAACAGCAGCAATCACCAGCCCTCCAAGTGCCTGGAAAAATAGCAAGGTTTGGATTCACAAACTGATAATTTGACTGAGAGCATCTGCTTTAACACCATGCACCTACTTTAGGAAATGCTTTTGTCTATGTGGAGGAGCAATACAGTTATTTTATATTAGGAATACTTACTGTTGAAAATAAATGTTGGAGGAGTAGTTCTTTCCCCATTAAAGAAATTGTTGATCACATTACCATCATTAAATGAGTGGAAATGCTCGTACATTTTTAGCCACATGAGGAAGGTCATATAGAGAGATAATTTTAAATATCACAAAATAAATAATGCTTACATGATTTTAATTTGCACAATTGCTTACAATTGCTTTTAATTTGCAATTACATACTTGCTATATATTTTCCAGATTTTCATTTAGAGTATGATAATAATGATAGATCAGACTTTCAACTGTAGAATTCTCAGCACCTTCAAAAACACCCATTAGCTTCCCCAGTTATTTATAGAAGAGAAAATCCCTGAGTGCCTTCACAGAAACATGCAACACAAGGTCTCACCTGTAGAACAACCACCACCCAAGTAAGTTTATTGTATCCTTGAAAAAATCCATTCTTTGACAGTTGCTCTCCATCATAAATGTAAACACCCATCAGTCCAAATATGCTACCAAAAAATCCTGAAAGTACAAGATTGGTTTAAAAGCTTTAGGTGAAAAACATGCAAATGGGTTCCTCATCCTTAAAGGCTGCTCATGTAATTCTGGTTTTAAAATTGGACTGTCACTTGCAATATCATCACATCCAAATGCAATCAGTTTGCTGTTCTCTTTTAAAAGCTATTCTCCACACTTGAAACAAGTTTTGATTGTTTCTATTACGGCATCCTTATATACTTATCTTCCATTGCTTTCTACTGGAATGGAGTGATTTTTGTTTATGGCATATAGCAAAATTCACTTAAATGCTATTTCAGTTTTCCTGAAACTAGTCATGACTGAAGGCTGGAGTCACCCTATAACTTGGAGAGAAAAACAGGGAAAACACTCAGTGGAAAAGAAGGTCTCTGGCACAGCAGGAGCAGCAATTAGCAGTTTGCCAATTCAGACAAGGATCTTTGAAATGGGATTCTCATGAGCCAGTCTCAAACACAATGAATTTTTACTAGTAGAGACTTATTGTCAAAAGCTGAATCTGAGGTGAGACTGTGGTTTTTAATTTGGTGAGTCCAGTGTTCTTCTATCAAATGGGAAGCTTTTCCTAATTCCTCAAGCACGTAAGCATGTAAGCAGCTACTCTGTGACTGATGTCTGCTCTAGTCCTTAGCAGGAAAGGGGCAACATTTTTTTCTATTCCTTCTCTGTAAAAAGGTGATTTTCATCACATTTCTGTGCGTCTGAAAAAGCCAGAATTGTTTTGAACAAAATAACACCTTCTGTTTGACAAGAAATAATTATTTTTGTAGGCAGATTGAAAAATGTAGTTATCATTCAGATGAAACCATTTGTAAACTTGTATTTTGCAATTGATCTGTTAAGATAAAGAAATACAATAACCTATTCATACATCCTTATTACGGTATTGATGTGCATTAAAAACTGATTTTTAAAACAATTCTGATTTATTTCCCAATTATTTTCTACGGTTTTAATAATTCTCTATGGATATGAAAATGAAAACCTGGTTGGACATACAGGTTTTCTGTTTGTGTTTTAAGAAAACTCTATTTCAGAGCTCTTGCCTATGAATGTCTGGCTCCTGAATAATACAATGTCTGAAGTGGGTGACTACCTTGCACTTGCAGAAAGAAGACACCAATGTATTTCTGAAAACATGATTTCACATTTTACATATTTTATGAAAGCTGTACTGTAAAAGCTGTGTTTATTTTTATATGTATTTATTATGTATTGTTTAACTTTATTTATGTATTTAAATAGTTTCTAAAAACTTAATGAAATATGACAGCATTATTTTTGAACTGAGAACAACCTCAATAATAAACACATTCTACTGAACCTGCTATTGAGGTATATTAAGCTCACTAGAAAGTAAATACAAAACTCAGGTGATCTGATTCTTACTATAATCAGGCATTTATGTCTTCATATATCACTGTCCTAGTCATTCATAACCTTGAAGAGTCAGCATTCAGCACAGTCTGTTCTGATCTCCCTGTTTCACAAAGAATTACTGAAACATTCAATATATGACCAGGCCAGCTATCAAACTAAGTGTACATGCTTCTGTGTGCTGTAGAAAAATATGAACAATATTTGAGATTATTGATTTTTCAACAATTATGAATTCCTACTTGAATTTATTTCAGATACCTGTTGCCCATGTAGCATGGAAACTGAGAGTAATATTAATAATCAGCTTTCCTTGGGAATGGATTTTATATTTCAGCTCCACCCAAAATACCAAATCTTACCTCAAATCCTGGACCAATCCCCAGGTAGCAACACTTCTCTGCCCCCAGAATTCCCTAACATAATGTTTCCTGTTGTATTCCCTACACTCTGTTCAGGAAACTTAATTGAATAGACACTGTTTCCATAAATACAATCTGATAGTAAGGAGAAGTTTCGATTCCTTCCACTATACTCAGTTTCAAAACACTTATGGTCATGTAAAAATATTTTAATGTATTCAAAATTAACCTCTGCTTTTTTAACTGAAACCACTTATAATTAAAATACAGTAGTAGCAAAATAAAGGAAAAAAAAGATGGCTTATTGACCAACTAACTAACTACAAAAGAAGCCACACCATGTCCTGTTCTTACAGTACTGCACTACATTCTGCCAGACTCACCACACAGCTCTGACCCACTAAATCATCTCATGACTTAACTTTACACTGTGGATTTGATCCCTAGGCCATCCTAAGGCACTGGGAAGGCCAAATTCTGCTCAGTGCACTCATTCAAATATGCCATAAATAGTTTTTGCCTACAGGTCAAGACTAGAGTGGTTAATATATGTTAACACTGGTGATGTTATTATAATGTGATGCACACTGATAGGTGCACAGTAGGTACAGCTATACAAATAGTTAAGATGAACTGGTCTTTTGCATATGCCTCTCCTCAGTGATTATGCACACAAAAGAAACTGACCTTTGGTATTGAAATAACAGTAAATAATTACTTCCACTTTGTTCACAAACAAAGCAGAATTTATAGTTTGCACTTTTAATATAAAAAGCTGCCTACCCTGGCACAAGAGAAAAAAATACATTAATTTTAAAACATCTCAAAACACTGACTTGGAAATATATTTTGTTTTAATATTCCTATATTCTCTAAAGAACAGTAAAAAAATTCAATTGACAGTTTCTGCACAAATGTACAGATACTCTACTAATGAAGTAAATCAAGAACTAGACTGAAATTAGAAAGCAACTTCTATAATTCCCCCAGCAGAATTTGACTTTTGGTTTTACAACAACATATATGCAGCATACTAAAATGTTGGTGGTATTTTTTATTTATACATTTATTTTGCACAATTGTCTTAATGCTTCAGAATGCAGTATCTCTAACAGGTGATTAAAATTAAACTTACCAAGCTGAATGTTTCTGATCCACACAGACTGCTTAGTTTCCTTTAAAATTTTCTCAAAATAAACTCCAGCGAATCCACTAGAAAAGCACGCTATGAGAACTGCAATCAGGCCTACAAACTGTGATCCTGCTGAGTGCTCCTTAGCAGGTGTTGCTTGAGAGTCTGAAGGCCACTGGATGTAAAAACAATTACACAAAATTCAATGATGAAATCAAGTCATGAACATCTACAAAATGCAAATTTGTTTTCCACTAACGGTAACAGTTGGTACATACACACAATCACATACTTGTAAAGTTTTGTATTTTGCACCACAAACACTTCTAAAGAACTGCAAAACTACAATTATTTTCCTATGCATTTGTAAGGAGTAAAATTGTGCCTGAACTGGGAGAATACTCATCAATTTAAACAGCCGCAGCATTTCTATTTTATAAGCAAGAACTGTTTTTGAATCCCAGTGTGACTGATCATGGTCATTCTCTGCCACCAACTTGTGCCACCCAACAGTTGTTTACCTTACAAGTATAAGTACAGTTAGAAAACTATTTACACCAGCTGTCTTTAAGGTAGGATGAAATGTCTATTTCATGTGCCCCTCTTTGGCGATTGTGCAGACCAGTTAAATCTTGCAATGTGTCTAAGGCTAACTGAATAAAATGCAATGCCATGGACAAAAACTTTCTGAGAAGTCTGTTAAATACTGTCAGAGTATTTTGTTCTCTTTTTTCATTATTGAATTTAATTACCATATCTTTTCCCAAATCCTTAAATTTTAAAATAAAGATTTCCAGGTATACTAAAATCTGCTAAAAATTCTTAGAATAGCCTCTTATCCTATGATCCTGCCCTCTGAAAACTATGAACTCTGATACCTGCACTATTGAGAACTGAGGCCAATTTAGGCTTTTGAAATGAGTCCAAAGTAAATTTGCCATGCTGAATCCGTATGACAAAGTGAACACAGCCTGTACTGGCAGAGAACATCTCTGAATTCCTAATGCCTGAAGAAATGCCCTAATAAAAATTGCTATCATTATTACTTGCAGGTTGCTCCAGAAGCCCTGTCACATTCTATAGTAGAGCACTGGGTTGCAAAAGAGGTGTTATCTTCTGCCTTTGAACCATTTCTGGTGTCCTCCAGACCTGGCCAGTTGTGATTCGTAGCTCCTGACTATACTCTGGTGCTCGTGTGCAGCTGGTAGAATCAGAAAGCTGGATAATCAGTATAGAAATCCATGTTTCTTGAATAAACACATTAAAACCCCACAAAACACCTGCTAATATTTACCTGCACAAATGCCACTCCTGTCATCAATATTACTAGTGACAGCCACTGGTATACGCCCAGTTTCTTGCTCAACATGGACACAGAAAACAATGCTGTGGTGAGAATTTTCAGTTGATATGTAACCTAGAAAAACCAGGAACAGTTACTACTGCAATGCCACAATTCAAGGGCGCTTTTTTTGAAACTTACAGAGAATTCCAAATATGCAATACCTGGTATGTGGCTGCATCTAGGTTTGACAATGCTACATATAGCAAGTTGTTCTGAAGAGTGTAAATTCCCGAAGGAATAGCGAGTTTAAGGGTTTCCATGGGTTTGTTAAGGATTTCATCACGTAGCACTCTGTTCAGAGTTCGTAAATTGCATTCTATCCAAAGAAACAGTAAAAAAAAATAGACATTCACTAAAAGGAAAGGAGTAGAAAAAAGAGAAACAGCAATGTTCTGTTCTTAAACTGTAGCCCCTTTTTATAGCTATCACTACACCAAGACCTGAAAATACCATCTATGTTTGTTTCACTTTCACAGGCCTTGTACATGTGAAATATGGCTGCAAGTGTCTTCCTGCAGCCTGGAATATCAGAATGAAAAAAGTATTCAAAATACTTTGAGTTAAACTTATTGAAATTGCCTCAATAATTTAAGATAATGTATCAAAGACTACCACCTAAAAAGTGCATATTTAGAATCCTACAGTCATCAATATTTATACATAGACTGACATTTTTAAGCTGTTGAAAATCAGACAGAAACCAGATAAATTCAGTTTTAAATACATAAAATAAGAACTGGAGTAAATGTGAATATAGTTTTCTTTTTTTTGGCTTAAAATTATGATTCTTCCTGTAACAATGATATTACTTCTTCCCTTCTGCATCTGCTGTTTATCACAGGTTTCTAAATTATCATTCATGCTTTGGACACACTTAAAGCTTTTCATTTTTTCCTACTTCTACATACAGATTTCTTAAAATGCCTGAGCAAACACAAACTTTGAGATGTTAGCATAAAATTCATTCCTGCCTTTCTCAGTATCCATTCTCTTAAGCAAATATGCAGTATGATTATTGTCTTTCCAAGACTATTTCTTACACAAGGAGAAGGGAAATGCCTTGTTGTATGCCTGTACTCACATGGCTGCTTTGCAGTTGCCACTACAATACAGCATATTGATTAGGAAAATTACTTGGTGCAAAATTTGACACATACTGCTGTCTTTGTAGACTAATAGAACACAGGCCAAAATCTTCAGAAGTTCAGCAATAACTACTGCAGTAGAGGATAAGTAACGAGGTCCTTCTTCTTTCAGTGTCCGAGAATAGCGCATGGTCAACACTAAACTTGTGGTCTGAAAAACCAGGATGCCCAAGGAAAGGTACTTTAAATGGGCAGACATTTCTTGACCTTTTCCTTTCTGAAACAGAAAAAAAGAAACAAACTCGAAGGTAATACTGCAGATATTGGGAATCGCTGATTTCTTTATGAAGGTGAAAGCTCAGAAGGTAGTTTCAAGGTGAAGGTGTTTTCTGCTAGGGTACAGCAGAATGCCCAGTACTCCTGCTGCAGTGAGCTGTTCCCAGACTGAAGAGATCCTCCCACTCCTCCACCTCTCCCAAGGCTGTCACGTTGCAGTCTCTGCCTTGCCAGGTGGCACCGTGCCAGCAAAAGAAGGGTAAGGGTTGGGCTGCTTTAAATGAGAATGAGAGGTATGCCTGGCAATGAACGGAAAGGAGAGCTGTGGGAAAGCAGAGTTGGAGAGAAGACATGGGAAGGAGAAGCTTTGGGGAGGCAGCACTAAACCTCTACTGCTGATTATCCTGCCCAGAAAACAATTCATTGAATATAGATGACTAGGTGATTTCCCAGGCTGCACTGACTACCACAAACTTCATATTAATACAGCTGTACCATCCTCATCCCTACCAGGAACTTCCACCAAGTGGATACAGTTTTCTTTGCAATTTGTTACCAGTTTAAAGGATTAACTAATAGCAAAAGACTAACAGAGACAGTAATTTTCATTTTGCAAGCACAATATATGACAAGGAGATTTAAAAAATCCTTGCTGCTACACAGACTATCACATAATTTTTGCTATGCTTCATATAAAGAACTTTCATACACAGAAACTATTGTTTTCTATAAAAGCTTATCTTCTACTCCCTTCATTTTCCCACATTTCCCAAACAGCCATTTTTTATAATGCCAAAGTTAAATCAGAACAATAACCAGAAATTCATAACTATGTTTATAAGCAAAAGAAGAGTAACAAGCCAAGACAATGCATGTGGTTAATTTCAGAAGTCAAGACACAGCCCACTTGCTGGGTGCATATGGCAGAACTGTCCTCGTGTTTTACACCTGCAGGAACACAACTTCTGACTCATTAACCACACAGCTCTGTCCACACTGCTCAAGGATGTGCTGCTACCTCTAAGTATTTGTGGCTAGAACTAAAGCAGTTTCTTGCCAACTGCATTCCTCTAGCTCAAGATGCATTTCATTGCTTGTTTTGTAGACTTTTGGCGAACTACATTCTTCAAATATTTCTGATTTACCCTTATCTTGTCTCTAAACATTTATAGTTTCTCTCCAGTCCAATATTCAAAGTCAAATTATTACCTATATGACAGTGACACTTAAAAGACATTGCAGTAACCTGCAAACAGGAGAGAATTATCAACAGCCACAAAGTTACAATGTACACACTTGTATCTTACACAATAAAATTGTTTATCTCAGAAATCATGCCTTTGTAAAAGCACACTGGCAAATAAGGAAGAAAAAAATGCCAGGATGCAGAAATACACAAGGTTTCATTAAGGAATCTTAATAGGATATACTTTTGTATGAACTATAATCTCATTTAACTTCTGAAGAAACAAATACTAAAGATGCAACTGCACTGGAGCAATATGAATCAGACAGAAATATAAACCGTGAACGAGAAGAAAGCTGCAGACAATACTCAAGACTTGCTATTTTCCACTGGTTCTGGTGAAATAATCCATTACATGATGGTGTTAACTGTGGAATTATGCACCCTAAACAACAAAACTGAGATGATCTGTTAGTTGAAGAACAACAGCTTTGATGAATAAGTTTGCTACAGCTGAGAACAAGTAGGAGAAAAAGAACAGTTCCTGCAAAGTGATGAAGAAGTGACAAGCACATTCAGAGACCATGCTTTCTGGAGAAGTACCAGCCACACAAAGACAGAGGGGAAAAAAGGTAAAGGAAAGAAAACCCTACTGAGAGAAGAATACTGAATGTCACTAAAAGGCTTGCCTATGATACTAGAGAAAACTGACATTTATGTGAGCCAACTTGAACAAACAATTTCTTTCACTGTTCCCATTTACCTCATTTTTTAGTATTCAGACCTGAAAAACTGGAAATAAAAAGCAACATATTGTTAAGACAAAAACCACTAAATTTCATGAAAGCACACCTACAGATAAATAAGTCCTTAGAACTTTAAGTTGTAGGTTTTAAAACTTGTTTTGGGGTTGTTTGTTTGTTTGTTTTTAGTTTTCAAAATGTTTCTGAACAAAATACAGATTATGGGAACACACATATCCGTCCTGACTCGGACCCAAATTTCTGCACTCTGTCAGCCTGTGAAATGACAAAGGGTTTTGCAAATGTCAAAAATCACCAGGTATCAAAATTGTAACCTTCCAAACAGGCAATAATATTAAAAATAATGTTCACATTAATTTTTTTGATAAAATACAACCATCTATTTAGGAAGCAGCTTAAAATGTAATTTTAAAAGTAAATCACTAGTATGGTAGGGAGCAAGTATCAAAGCAATCAGCATGAAAATAAACCAACAAGCACAACACTTTGATAAGCCCATAAACAAAGCCATAAAGAATCCATACCACATCATTATCTTTAACTTCTGTCTTCTCTTCCTCAGAAGTCATAATAGAAAAAGGGAACTTTCCCCAAACAACGTGTCTCAAAAAGGCACCAATAGCAGGAAATATTTCCTGCTAATGCAAGGAAGTCACTAATGCATGGAACCTAAGTGTTCAGCATGATAGCTGAAATAAGGGTATTTTTTAAAAGTTGTCCTGTCAGTGGTCAACAAGACAGGCTTGTAGACAGCAAGTGTGTGAAGTTTCATGCTGTACTTGCAAGGTGGTTCACCAAGCAGGAACTAGAGTTCTGAAATGTACACATGCCAATGATATAACCACTCTCTCCTAAGCACACAGAACACCTCATCAGGTCTCCTGGTCTCTTCTCTTTTAAAGGACCTGTTTATTAGCTCACAGACCTCTTTTGCATACTGGGAACAATCCACAAAAGCAGCAAGATAGTGAACTTTAGTTGGGCTGTCTTCAACTGCAGTCATACAGCACCTTTAGACTTAGAGGTGACTATCAGAGGTGTAAGAGCTCACTTGTAGCCATAAGCTCCTGCTATCCTCACAGCAACAGCCTGTGCAGTCACAGAACAAATGAACTATTGCCTCCAGTAACAGTCCACACCTGGATTGTCATAAACCAACAATGATATTGAAGTTCTCACTGCATTTCCTGTACAGATTTACAACTTGGGTTTCTTACTGGGCTTTGGATGCACTACTTGGTACTCTGCAGGATGCATCTCTTTGAAAACTCAGATTTAGATTTGCTAATTCAAAGACTGGAAGTTGAGTGGTGACATGAACTCTGACTTTTGAACCGCACCTTACACCGGGCCGTGCTAAGGACCTGCAGTTCCCCGACTATAATACCAAATAACTCGCCTCAGGGACTGGGCTCGTCACTCTTTTTTAACTCCTATTTTAGTCTATTTTTTAAACATAGACTAACTCTTCTGTTAGCCTATGCTAAAAAAAAATCAGTTCCTTCTGCGTCATTTCTTCGGTGTGCCATGGACACACCCTGCAGCCACAAGGAAGGCAGCCCTATAAAGGAGCCAATACTCAGGAAGCCAAGGTGGGATTTACAGCCACATAACATTTGGATTCAGTACACACAGCTGCATAAAATTTGGATTCTTTGTGAAGAGCTGTTCTCCTTGAAAGTAAAAAGGAGAAGGACCCTGGAAAGGTTTTCAGAACACAAATCAAAGCAAAGCAATCTATAGAGGAAGTAATACTTTCAGCTCAAAGTACCATACTGTCCAAAGTCTGAAGAATAACTCTTCAAATGAAGCAGATTTTTTTTGAAGTGAAAAATCACATATTTTCAGCTCATAATATTAATTAAAAAATGAATACATTTCTGACTTGCAGATTTTCATCTCCCTTTGCAATACCTGCAACATAGGCTAAAACTTAATATTTTACATTTTATTTTTATTTCATCCCTACACTTTCCCTCCTCAAATACTGGTAAATTTGCAGATGAAACTAGCCCATAATCAAGTTGACTTAATGAACAGCATACCAAAACTCCATGATACTAATCAGTGTTTACTACAGACCAATAAGATTATGGGACTTTTCCTAACCTTAAGATTTTGTCTTTTAAAGATCTGATGGTATAAACTTCTGAAGCTGATAAGTATCTACTGTTGCAAAAACCTATGCAAAATTAAGGATTAGTCTATTAACTGATTCTATTCTTAACTTTGTAGAAGGACTCAAAATCAGAATTACAGGGAGTATCAGAGAAACTTATAGGAAAAACTCCAAGCACCCAACATTATCTGAAGAAGTAGATGAAAGACAAGAAAAAAATTAACAGTAAATTCCAGCAAGTCTCACAACAAAAAAGTAAGTAAAATTCACCAAAAGATTTGACAAAAATAACATCTATTGGCAACTATTTCTTTACTCCTCCATACTCTGTCACAAGTTTAATTTTAAAAAAAGAAAATTAACTAACAAGTATCATGCTCCAAATCTTCACAGTGATGTCATTACGTGAATTAAATTCCTTCCAGCCTAGCTGTGAAATGTTTTCATTGCTGACAGTTTTTTAGAGTAAAAAAGCCAAGTTATAGGAGTTATTTTTCTTAGGTCTTATTCCATTTTATGACTAATCAGTTTAACATTGCTCAACCAACAAAAGGCATTTGTGTATCAGTTAAAATGCAAAGCCCAATACAGAAGTAGACAACCAGCCTCTCAAAACTGCCAAAGGCAAAGTTTAAATTTTCTGTGCTACTACACCAAATTCTCCATATGTGATCTGCTGGAAAATAAACACTGATTGAGCCTGCCTCTGTGTCATTCCAGTGGTACATGTATGGGCACACTTCCTGAGCACCTGCTTTGAAGTCAGGATAAGAGATTAAAGAAACAGGATGGTGTTCTCGTATTTCTCCAGTGAAATATGAACCTAGTGCTGACACCACAGCTATACAAATACAATAAGCTGTCAACAAAGGAAAAGCCCAACTGGAAGGTGGAGTAAGAGATAACTCACAGAACCTAAAGAACCTATCTTT